GCGGCCCTCCGGAGCCCCCAGGGCCGCAGCGGCGGCGCCCGGGCCCTCGCCAGCTCCGGGGCCGGTTCCGCCAAGGGCCGGGGAGCAGCGAGCCCCGCTGGGGCCCTCCCGGGAAAGGCAGCGGCAGAGCAGGCCGAGGACAGGGCTCGGCTCCCGCCTGAGGAGGGGAGGGAGCACCGGGCAGGCCCCGGGGCCGCAGCTGCTTGTCTGGGGTCACAGACAAGAGCTTTGCCTCTTAGCGGGGCGCGTGCCGGCACAGTCGGGGCACTGCCAGGCACCCCCGGCCATGGATAGGGATGAGCAGCACTGCTGCGTGCCCCGGCCGCACGTGAGGAGCACAGGGTGAGCTCCCGCGGCGGGCGAAGCGAGCGCGTTGTGCTTTGGCTGGCAGGGATGGCCCCTGTCCCACTTGCAGCTCCGGGGCGAGCCCGGCATGAGGGTAGTGGGACAGCARCCTGAACGGGATGGGGACCCCCAGGCTGAGCGGGAATTTCTGGCAGGAATTGTCTCTTGTTTTTGCAGTGGGGGCAGCGGAAGCACCCCTGCCAGTTTGTGACATCTACCACATGAGCGAGTTCTGTGCTCGAGATGCTTGCACTATCGTGTTGTTTTGTACAGGATTCCAGAAGGAGAAGTACAATATAAACACAGATGAGGTCACAGTTCTACCATGGAACACAATTTTCAGACTAAATTTTGGCTTTTACAAATGGTTTGTGGAAATTACTGTCATGATCGTTCCTGTAAGAGAATAAAGCAGAGGTAGTGAGGGCTTGGACGTTGCCAGTTCCCGGTTCGCTATCATTCAATTTGAGAACTAAAATCCTGTTATTTCTTAGACAGAATGATCCTGGAATATGTGAGCAGAAGGTAGCGTGACCCAGAATCCACTTCTGTCAGAGCAATTTAGTTAGGCCTTAGTTAGTTAGGCTTTGCATCAAGCATATAGTTGTCTACGGGTTTTGCATATTTTGTGCTATTTTGTCCAGTTAATATAATGCTGCATGGGAATGAAAAATCCAAGATAAGAGCTGTTTCCATCACTACAAAGCAACCAAATTAAATGAGAGTGTTTTTCTAAATGCCAAGATTTGACGTCTTTTCCATAGGGAAAATAATGGTGTCTGATCAAGCAGAGAAAAGTGGGAACAGGACTTTTTGTTCAGTCTGGTTTATTTAGAAGAACTAAACAAACATTAAATAGGTAGCAGAAGCCTAAATGCAATGAACTTTTCTGTGCTGCATTTGGTTAAAAAATAAAATGGTAAGTGGATGATGGAAGAATATACTGCAAAAATGTTTTTAAACTTGTAACACAAGCTTGTGGATTGCAGTTCATCTTGCACAGGGTAAAATCTTGCACCTACCATTCCAACGGCAGTAATATTTCTTTGATATTAATATGACTGAAAAATTCACGACATCCGCTTTGAAATGTTTCAGCTAACATTCAGTTTTGTCCATCCTCGCCTGATAGAGTCTCTCAGACCGTTTCCTACGGTAAACATCATCTGTCAGGAAAAGACATTACATTAGCAATTTCCAAGAGCACAATGACATTAAATCTATAAGGCCTACCATCTGTTTTATTTTTTTTTTCAATCCGTCTTCCTCTTGCAGAGGCTTACAGGCAATTAAAGCCAGCATGGATCAGTCTAGCTGGRCACTCTCAACCAAGCTCAGGGGAGCGGGGATGATGGGGAATTGTGTTTTCTGTGTTATCTCCAGCGCCCCCCACCCAGGGCAGCCCCTCCACACTGCCCCACTGGGGTGCTTTGCTTTCTGCCCCCGTTTTCAAGCAGCCAAGGCCTCCTCACTCACAGAAGGTCTCCCGGCCCACGCGGACGTTGATCATGAACCACTCCATGGCTCCCCCCAGCAGGAAGAAGAAGGGGAGGAAGCGGTAGGCGCCGAAGCGCTTCTTGCCGGGCACGAGCTGCAGGAGCCGCCGCAAACTCTTGTTCACCAGCATGGCCGGCGGCCTCGCGAGCTCCCTGGAAGGCAGAGCCGGCCCCGAGCAGCGGCGACAACGACGCGGGAGGATGTGAAACGAGGGACGCATGGTGACGAGGCCCCCGTGCGCCCCGCCATGACGGGGCAACGCCACCCCGCCCGCAACGGCTCTAACGAGCGTAACGTTCCCAACGGCTCCTCCAACGGCCGCGGCGCGCAGCCAATCACAGAGGCGCCCGGCGCGTGCACGACCCC